AACATCCAAATCAATTCAAATAAGGAAATCCGACGCGAGTACCTAAATCCCTGGACCCTGAAGTTCAAAGACAAGAGTCAGGAGCAGAAGTTCTGCCAGTTGCGAGAGGATATGTTCCGGTGCGTATGCCAGCCTGCTAATGGAACGCAAACAAAGGGCAGGACACTCTTAATTAATGAACTGATTGCTAATTGATTTTTGCCTCCTGCCATTCCATTGGCCCCCTCCATTCCCCTCCCCTCTCCATTCAGATCTAATATGCTGTGTGTGTTTGTCATCTGGATATTTATGGTGCTGTGCCAGGTTATCATCATTCCGCGATGCACGCGCCTCATTATTTGTCTCTCGGTGGGCACCATTGTCCTAACCTTCTGCTGCGTTTTGGTCATGGCCGAGGAGTTCCCAGGTGAGCACCTCATGGGTTATTGGGTAATTGAAAGGATAGTTACTTACTTATTTTGAGAACAAAACAAGAAGGAAAGCTATGCAAAAATAATGTATCCCAAAAACTTCACAGCTAAATTTTTATTTACATTGTCCGTATTTATTTTATTCGTGAACTAAATCTAAAAGACAGGTATTATATTTTGTTGATGTCTTACCTTATCTTTTGCAAATTGTAATTATATTTTGATATTTTGATTTAACTTTTATACATTTCAACCTTATACATCAAATCAGCAAAAAAATATTCTAAAAATAAATTTTTTTGTTCTACCACTTAAAGTGCAATCCCAAACAAAATGCTTAACTTTTAATACTCTATTTTTTGTACCCTAGGACTGCCTCGCTGCCTGAAGACGAACTCGGCGAAACTGGTGCATCAACGCCAGCGTCGCACTCTGTTCATTTGCGGTGTCATCGTGTCCATGTGCATGCTGAGTGCCATCGGACTGGTCCTGTGCCCCTCGTCCACGTACATAGGCACCGTGGACGAGCACTCCCGGTTCCTGCGGATGTCTTCGCTGTACAGCAACACCTCATTGGAGAGGGAGAAGGAGTACAAGCTGAATGTCTACCTGTCGGCCACCATACATCATAATATCACCATAAGTACGCCGACGAGTGGGGCAGCTGCCTCGCTGGTGGACATTACGAGTGGGCCCTCCGATGAGCTGGTGCGGAGTACTCTGGTCAATGCGCTCAGCATGAACTTGACGCCTCCACGGGATCACTTTGAGCAATCGCATCGACCGTATACACTGACCACCAGCGGACACAGTGTGTCCTTGAACAACCTAAGCTATGGCGATTTCGCGGGAGTGCGAAGTTCAACGGATGTGGAGGGCGATTGTACCCATCCGGAGTACCTGGTGTTCACCTGGGTGCTCTGCCTCGTCTCCCTGGCCACTGCCTTAAAGCTGTACTACCTGGTCAAGGCTCTGATGGCCTTGGGCATGGTGGCCTTTTACACCGCGCTGATCATACTCAAGTTTAGCTCGGGTGAGAGCTTCAGTTTGGGCGATCTTTCCAGACTGGGCATGCCCTTGGGTGTCCAGATGTTGATACTGCTAATCTCGTTCCTGGTGATGGTCTGCTACCATGCGCGGCTGGTGGAGGTAAGAGAAACACGGGATAAATGCTGCCAATTCGACCTCTGAGCCCATTACTCATCCCGATTCCCACAGGTAACCTCGCGTTTGGACTTCATATGGAAGGAACAGGCCGAGCGTGAACTGACCAACATGAAATCCAATCGTGCGCTTAATGACACATTAATTAAGGTAAGAGATTTGGCCCAAAACACTGATAAAAATGTGGTTAAAACAATTGGGGAAGTAATTAATAATAATAATAAATGTTTTCTTAAGTGCTACAGAAACCACTATAAATATTATGTAAAATAATTATGTAAAAAATGGACCACCGTTAATCGAAATTTATTTATCGATATTTTTGATACATTATATACATTATTGTATAGCAGTTTATGAATGATTTTAAAATCTAATGATTACTGTGCCAACAGCAATCGCATTTTCTCTCAGTGCACCTGCTCGCTTTGTTATTAATTAAACTGTTTGCTTGCAGAACATCCTGCCGGACCACGTGGCCACCTATTACCTGTCCGACGAGCACACGGACGAGCTCTACTCCAAGATGCACAACCTGTGCGGCGTAATGTTCGCCTCTATTCCAAACTTCCAGGACTTCTACTCCGAGGACATCGACAATGGCAAGGCCTGCATTCGGATCCTGAACGAGATTATCTGTAAGTTGATTGATTAAGCCCTAATTCGCGTTTCCATCTGTTTAATGATGCCGCCAATACACAAATCAAACCAGGTGACTTTGATGAATTGCTGGAGGAGCCGCGTTTCGCGTCGGTGGAGAAAATCAAAACCGTGGGTGCCACCTACATGGCAGCGGCGGGCTTGAATCACGAGCACCTGAGACTTCGCGGCGAGACCTCTGAGGATAGTGTGTGTGACCTGGTTGAGTTCGCCTTCGCCATGAAGCAGAAGCTGGAGGAGATCAACGGGGATGCCTTCAACAATTTCCAGCTGCGCGTGGGCATCTGCAGTGGTCCGTTGGTCAGTGGTGTGATTGGAGCGAGGAAGCCCGTCTACGACATCTGGGGCAATACGGTGAATGTGGCTTCGAGAATGGATTCCACGGGCGAGAACTGGCGTGTTCAGGTGCCGGAGAATACGGCGGAGTTGCTCTGCTCGCGGGGTTACACTTGTGTGGTATGTTGTCTATGATTACCCATCTTTATTATTAATAAAATATGTATTTAATCCCCAGAAACGAGGTGAAATCGCAGTGAAGGGCAAGGGCATGATGACCACCTTTTACGTTCATCCCAAGGGCATTACGGAGAGCCAACTGATCTCGCCGGTTCGCATGCCGGCTGGCATTCCACTGGCCCAAACCCCCAACCTCCAGCGACAGACCTCCCATCATGGATCCTTCAGCGCCGTGGTTTTCGGCATGCTGCAGGCCAGCAAGCGCAGCACGGCCATCGCAGGAACACGTAAGCTTCAGTCAGCACAGCACCCACTCCAGATGCTAACCCTACTCTATGTTTTTAGCCACGGGCACCCCCTCGCCGCAAATCCGTCGGGGTCATCGGGGAAGCACCTTCAGTTCGGTGCGGTTATCCCAGAAGTCCACCACGGTCAATCCAGTGCGTCGAAATACAACCCGTGTACGGGGACGTTCCTATCGCCAGAAAAAGGTATGAAAAGTACATTTTTATTAAACTTTACAAGCTTTCTACGCATAAGGAAATCAAACTTTTATTCATTTGTTCTATTATTATTACATTTGTTTTAAAAAGTATTTTGCATGTTAAGAGAAAACCAGAAGTTCTTTGTACTTTAGTAAAATATTTTCTATGTGTTGGAATTTATTTAAATCCCTAAAAAAATTTTGTTTTATATCTATTAACATCAAACATCAACCTTAAAACAACATATTAATCTGCTTAACACCAAAAAAGTGTGTCTTGAAATAAACTTCAGATAGTATGAGCGTTAATTCAATACTAAATAATGTAACGTAATGTATTGTACTTTTTAGTTTAATTTCTATACTGAATAGTCTAAAGCTGTTTTTTTTTTTTGTATATTTTTCGGCTGTTATTTCATACTCATTAGTTCTTATCAATGTATCGAAAAATATTTTTTAAAATTAAAAACAATTATATAACTTTGATTGTTATTTACATTTCCAGAGTTCCTCCAACAATTCGATTGTCACCCAGGCCAGCTCCAGCTATATGCCATCGTTTCGACGGATCGATCAGATCGAGACGACCATATCGAAGAGCCACAACGATGCATTATAGCCGACTACACGCACTCGTTGGGTGTAAGTCGATCTCAAGCAAATAAATTGTCTGATGAATTTATTTTTGGAACGATTTTATGCAGTACGAAATGCTTAACAATGCAGAAAATGCTGGCTTAACCTTAAGATTGAATAGTGGAGATCGACACTGAAGCTACTTAGTAGAATTTTTAAATCACAATCCTTGAACTTGTAGATCAAATATATATTATGTAATTCTTGCATTATCTCAGCACAATTCTAGTCGTTAAACTTAAGAATTAATGTTTGTATGTGCGTGTGTTGAAAATATTTAGAGTAGGACATTTTGATCTTCCCACAGATTCTACCTAACGAAATGCCAATGAACCTACTAACCTTGTTCAATTCTACCAAAATATTTACCAATCGTAGGGTAAATTCTTAGTATTAGTAGTCAATTTAAAAAGCCATTTATGAAAAAGAAAATCAAATATTCGTTGTACAAATCTTTTATTCTTAAAAAACCGTATGTGTAAATAGACTAAGTGTAACATATTTTACGAATATCTATATGTAAAAAGACGGACGTGTGTTACTAAAATGAGAAATTGATTATGGAAAATAAAGGATGTTATATTATTATAGCCAAAAAACTTTAAGCACATAAATTGTAATTACATAAAAATATACAAATAAATGTGATCAATAAAACCGATTAAAATGTACAGGAGTTTTCTATAGTTAACTTATCTAGACTAACTTATATCAATAAAACCTAAGTGACTTGCTGACTGATCAATTAAATCGAAGATGGGGTTCGGTTCCTAAATTTTTCGCTGTTGATGTCTATGGAAATATACTGGGTATTTTTGAGCTAAAAAATTTATCCAAAGTCAAAAGATAATAATTTAATCAAATGTCTTTAATAAGAAAATATTCCTAAAATCGAATTTATTCATTCAAAAAATTAAAAACAAGAATAAGAATAACCAGTGAAACTCAAATGTCTACCAAAATTAAAGACCCCTTGAAGAACCCCAAAATCACGGGAAATGTACAAAATAACTATCAAATGTTGATTATTAGAAAGTCTGTTACGGCGAAATAAACTTCTTTCAAGTCCCTTGATCATATTTCAAATCAGGGTAAACAGCGCGCCGAAAAACCAAATGTGGCAACATCGTATGTTAGCATTCGTGCTAGAACGCGGTACGGTCACACCAGAAGGCGACGCGTGGCAACTCTAGAGCCCGTCCGTTTCCCGCCCTTCGCAACACTGGTGCCAAACACATGCGGTGCTGCGGAAAAGTGTGATTATTTTATCTCGATTTCGTCGATTTGAAGGCATCGCTCGCGAAATTTAGAGTGAACCACAGAGTGGCGGTGTATGCGAACAGCCAGCGGACAAGCGGGACGCACTTGAGATGACGAGCGGTACGGTAACAATGACGGCGGGAGGAGCGGTGGAGGTGCAGCTGCCGCTCAAGGTCGCCCGCCGGAGAATCGAGCGCGTTGGCTTCGCATACTTTGCGCAACGGCGCCAATTTCTAGCGCCCGGCGGCGTGGAGCGCAGCGACAGCGATGAGAAGTTGGAGGGCGTCGGCGAGGAGGTGGACATCAGCTACCTGAAGTCCCTGGATCCCAAGGAGTGGAAGGACCAGGATCACTACGCCATTCTGGGTCTGGGCAAGCTCAGGTAAGTCGGCCAGCACGTGTTTGGCCTAGTTTTAAGTCATTTATTTATAACCTTTCGCTATGTAACACTTGATTTAAAATTCATTCAATCAGGTACGAGGCCAGCGACGATGACATTCGACGGGCCTATAGACGCATGGTCCTGCTGCATCATCCCGACAAGCGGAAAGCCAAGGGCGAGGAGGTCATCCAGGACGACGACTACTTCACATGCATAACCAAAGCCTACGAGATACTGGGTGGGTGTCACGGTCATGTCCTTGCTAGGTCCTTGTAGCGAATCCTTGCGATCCCACAAGGTTATTCGGTAGTCGATTATATATATTATAGCCTTTTCATGAGTTACATTTAACACTCTTGGCGTAAAATCCAGCAAATGACTGGAAAATCCTTTTATACAGGATACTTCATGTCCCATTGTGCACAGAAATCGATTGTTAAACCTTAAATATCGTTTGTGTTTCTAATATAATGATAGGTAAATGGAGAATCTTCCTTTGTGTAGCTGACAATTTCAGTGGCTAGCCAACTGCTAATAATTAGGTCAACCTGTTGTGTATTTTAATGCAAAATACCATAACTAAATGAAAGGATACTGTCTGGACTCTATAAAAAAACTCTATCCTTAAGCTTTCTATTGATAAAGTTAAAAATAGGAATAGTTTAATTAAAAAAGAATGCAAGGTTTTTACTTAGTGCGATTATATAATTACTTAATCATTCGGACAATGAAAATTATAGCCGACCAGTTTAAAATGTTCCCGTTGAACCCAAATTCGACTTGATTATTAATCCCCTTTTGTTTGCAGGCACATCCAAGCCACGTCGCAGCTTTGACTCCGTGGATCCCGAGTTCGACGACTCGCTGCCCTCACAGAACGAAATCGATGGCGACTACTTTGGCGTATTCAACAAATACTTCACACTTAACGGCCGCTGGAGCGAGAAGCCACATGTGCCCGCATTTGGGCAGGTGGACGCCAAGCGTGAGGAGGTGGAGCGCTTCTACAACTTCTGGTACGACTTCAAGTCGTGGCGAGAGTTCAGCTACCTGGACGAGGAGGACAAGGAGAAGGGACAGGATCGCGACGAGCGGCGCTGGATCGAGAAGGAGAACAGGACGGCGCGGATCAAGCGCAAGAAGGAGGAGATGTCGCGCATCCGGGCGCTTGTCGATTTGGCCTACAACAACGACAAGCGCATTCAGCGCTTCAAGCAGGAGGAGAAGGATCGCAAGGCAGCGGCCAAGCGGGCCAAAATGGACGCCGTCCAGGCCCAAAAGGCCGAGGCGGATCGTGCTGTGAGAGAAGCGGCTTTGGCCAAGGAGAAGGCCGAAAAGGCCGAGCAGAAACGCATCGAGCAGATCCGCATCGAACGCGAGCAGCAGAAGAAGTTGCTCAAGAAGGAGCGCAAAACACTGCGCGACAAGGTCAAGGACTGCAAGTATTATGCCAAGAACGACAAGGATCAGCTGAAGCACATGGAGGGCACCGAAAAGATCTGCGAGACCTTCAATCTGGCCGAGCTGCAAGCCCTCAACAAGGCCATGGAAACGAAGGGCCGTGAATCGTTTGTGGCCGCCCTGCAAACAGCCGACCAAAAGATTGCCGCCGAGCTGGAGGAGATCAACCAGACGCAGGCCAAGAAGCTGGTCAGTGCAGCGGCCACGCCGAAAGGCGTCAAGGAGGTCAAGAAGGGCGAACTCTGGAGCAACGAGAACGTCCAGCTGCTGATCAAGGCGGTCAATTTGTTTCCTGCTGGCACTGCCCAACGCTGGGATGTCATCGCCACGTTCATCAATCAGCACAGTCCGGGAAACACTGTCCTTGTGAATGCCAGGGATGTGCTGAATAAAGCCAAGGCGCTCCAGAACACGGATCACTCGAAGAGCTCCCTCAAGACGCAGGCCAACGATGCGGCCTTCGCCAGTTTCGAGAAGTCCAAGAAGGATGTGCAGACCTGCAATGATATAACGCTGGGCGAGGAGACGCCGGCCCAGGCGAGCAAGGAGAACGTGAAACAGAACGGAGTAGATCATAAAGTGAACAATCAGTCGGCCAAGCAAAATGGCAATTCAACGACTCCGGCTCCAACAGCTGATGCTGGTCCCGCAACAGCAGCAGCAGCAGCGGCTCCGGTCACAAATGGAAATTCGAGTGCTGGTGGTGGTGCCTCCAAGACCTGGACCAAGGAGGAGCAAGCCCTGCTCGAGCAGGCCATCAAAACCTATCCAACGACGACGCCCGATCGCTGGGATCGCATCGCCGCCTGCATACCGAATCGCAGTAAAAAGGATTGCCTGCGTCGCGTCAAGGAGCTGGTCGAGCTGGTTAACTCCAAGAAGGAGGCGCAGGCGGCGGTCAAATGAGTGGGGCTCCTGCCCTGACGCCACCTGCCACTCGTCCGCCTCATCCACTTCTAGCTGCTGTGTCCCATATAAATTTTATTTAAATAAAACATAAAAAGTTTTTGAACGTTTAGCGAAAAGTTACATCCAAAGTTTTTCCATTTTGACTAGCTAAATGTCACAGGTATATCCAGATCCAGACGTATATATATATATATATGTTCTGTAAGGGAGGGCAATCTTATGTCTGTTCGGCCACACTACGTCCGCCGCTCATTTTCAAATCAAAGGCTTGCGGATTGGCCAGGGGATCCAAGTCGGCGAAGAGATCAAGCCAGGGATTGTTGGTGGACTGGGATTTGCTGGCAGCCGGGTTGGTAGGAGCTCCACTTGCCTTCGAATCCTTGGCTGGGTGGCTCGTTAAGGGTTGTTGATGCTGCTGACTGAAGAGGCGCGACCATAGCTTGTTATTGCTGCTGTTTTGGGCAGGTGGCTCTTCATCCAGGGGCGCATCAATCAGCGGACTGTCCTCCAGCTGCTTGGAAAGCTCAATCAGCAAGGATTCATTGTCGCCGCAGGCAGTGGCAGGTTCGCTTGGTTTCTCCCCTTCGGATTCCTTTGTTTCCGGCTCTTCCACCACCTTGTCCTGGTACTCATTCTGCAAATTGCATTATTATCAAGGGTTTTAAGGGGCTTAGTTCGGGGTTATAGTTACGGCAAAGAACAACGACTGATCCTTGTCCACAGCTTCAATTGGCGGCACTTCCTCACTGGGACCTTCATTTTGGGACAGTTCCTTCAGCACACAAAAATCGTACTTGGGCTTCAGAATCAGGGCCTTCGATATGGTCTGGAATGTGGAGGCGGCCTTCTGGGCAAAGTTTTTCAATTCGGTCACATAGGCCACCAGGGCATGGGAATACATGTTGCAGCGGGCGGCGGCCAGTAAATCAATCTGGAAAGGATTCAAATCGTAGATTAAAGTAATGTCTTATAAATAAGAACAATAAGAACATAAATTCCTCTATATAAGCTGGTATGAGATTCTACATGCTACAGAACAGTATTCATATTTTTGTATCTTATAAAATAGTAATAGTTATTGGATATAACCCATTTACCATATGGTAAGGTCTTGGTGGCTCAAATAGGAAAGTCATTCTATAATGATAACAAATCATAAACCATAATAACACCTAATATACACTTATTATTATACAATATGGGAGTTATGTAGGACAGTTTATTATGAGATCCCTGGACATAAGTTATCCCTATTAAAAAAAAACTTATAATAAAATCTTTAAGAACTAAGAAGCTACATATGTATTCCTTTGGAATATAGGGAATCCCCAAAAGCACCCTCCCTCACCTTCTGAATGGAATCCATGGAGTAGCCATCAAAGTTATGCTTGGCCATGCGCACATGGGTCTGTGCCGTACGGAACTTGTCCAGACCCTTGCCCGTATCGGGATCCAGTTCCTGGCTGGCGGACTTCATCCAGGAGAGAGCGGCACGGTATTCCGTGCGCTCCTTCTCCATCGACTGGAGCGTCTGCTCCGTGTCCTTGACCGCTCGACACCGGAACACATCCACCTCGTGCTGGAGGCGCAGGAGCGGCACACGAACGCACATCCTTTGCTGACCGGCGAAGGACACCGCCTTACCCGTGTGGGCGATACTGCCGCCCGTCGTCCTGCTCCGCTTTCCCGCCTCCTTCAGGAACCGCCCGAAAACACACTCCTCCTGCGACAGGATGCAAAGGCGCTCCTGGTATTGGTCGATGATTTTGCACAGGTTCAAGCTGGTGTCCGATATCGATTTGAACACCTCGATCTTGGAATCCAGCTCCGCGTCCGAGGATATTACGTGCTTGTCCTCCTTCGTCCCCAGCTTGCGCTGCACAACCTTCTTGGTTATCCAGAACTGGTGCTGAACCTCCGATTTGAGCATATTTTCGCCGTTTTGCGTTCCAGTTTTCAGCTGCGGGTGCGGGTGATTTTTCGCCACTTGGTGGGGGGTATGATGTATCGTTATTTTTCGATTAGTGTGCGAGCTTTGCAGCACTAACATTACGGTCACACTAAATGTGTTATACCCAATTCACACTGGCGGATACTTTTCGTCCTTTCTCAACCCGGTACTCATAGGCATTGCCATACGCCTAAAATGAACTGTGAGTGAACGATCTTCAGGCTCTAGTGAAAGAATAAACAATTGTAGAACATTTCTTGAATAAAAAATGTATGGAAAAACTGTCCCGAACCAATTGATACCACTTTTATTAAAAGATTCCCAAAATATTGCAGCGAAAGTTTGTTAAGATTGTAAATCATAATTTTAAACTATAAATATATCATAATCTCTTTACCATATAAATAATATTTCGATAATAGTTGGGAGCAGGCGGAATAAACGTGAATTGTTTTTAGTTTGTTAACAAAACAACATAATTTTGTTTAAAAGTTTGACGAAAGTTTGCTCTCGCTCCCTCTCTCTCTCTCTCTCTCTCTCTCTCTTAGCTGACAAACGGATTTCCTTACTAGGCTTAAAGTTTAACATCAATGTTATCAATTTTACATGACGAGAGAGGAGAGAGTAGAGATGGACAAGCATCGATGGTTACCGCCAATCATCGATGAAACAGATGTTTTGAAAACATCGATTACATCGATGTAAGCATTGGTGTTTCTCCACCTCTAACGCGGGCAATGGAAAAGTGTTCATTCGGTGTCAGAACTCTCGTTGGCTTTCTATCTCTCGCTTTTCCCCTTCGAACCAATCCAACCCAACATTTGTATTTACGCAAGTGCTTTTCCTTCGCGTCGCGAGTTTTCCTCGTTTGTTTACCTCCGATTACCGCTGTGTGTGTGTGCTTGGATCTTAAATACATGCGTATTTATGTGTTAGCCGGTGGCTAAAGTTCGAGTTTTGAGTTGTTATCTTTTTGAGACTGCAACATTGCAATTGCAAAATTGAAAGCGGCACATTTTCTTCTGCGGCTTTGCTAATTTGCTGAACAGGTATGTTTGGGCTTATTTTCGTGCATTTATGAAATACAGTTACTTTCCGATGCTGCACACTCACATACATATGTACACACGCACGAGAAGAAAGTGAAGAAGTGTGTGCGTGTGCAAAGGTTAGTACTTTGCTTGCCACTAATAAAAAAAACGGGTTGTGAGGTAAAGTTTTTGCCACCTGCATACGCGGGTGTGTGTGTTTTGAATCCAACTGTGTGTGTGAGTGATCCAGCTTAATTGATTAGGCAAAAAAAAAAAAGATAACGCACCTTAAGACACAATAAAACAACAACACCAACAGCCCGTGACATGGCGGCTTCTTTTTTGGTTTTCTTTTGAGTTCCCTAAAATTACACTAAAAAAACAGGTTCATATTGTCAAAAGTAGACTGTATACAATTTTATAAAAAAAGCATTTTAATTGAGGTATTAACATTATATTATTAATAAACAAGCAAACGTAAGCTTTCCCATTATATACAAATGTATACAGTATCAAAAAGTCTTTAAACGAAATTTAAGGACTTTAAAGTTTTACAAATGTTTAGACTTATAAATTTACAAACAAGTCAACCTCGAAAAATGTCTGATATTTCTGTGACACCTCAGTGTATAAAATATTATATATACATATATAAATTTCAATGTGGAGTGTCACAGAGATCTCTATTGCTCCTATATTATCCGTTTCAAAGCAATCTTAATTTTCTTTTCCGTGCACTGAAGATCTTAAGCCGCTGGTGCAATTAGATTCGGTTGCGGCCACTGAGCACCACGAAACAGCCAAACAAAAAGGCCACCAACTACAATGAAATCATCGAAACAACAAAAAATAAAGAGGCAGCCAGAAGAACTCGAAGTTGAGGGAAAAAGGTCACGGCACTTGCTGCTTGCTAAGCTTTAATGGGCCGCCTTGGGCCGAGCAAACAACAACAAACAATTGTTTATTGCAAGCGGGCACCTTGTTAACCCATCTCTGTCTCTCTCTCTCTCTCTCTCTCTCTCTCACTCTTTTCCGTATCTCTTTCTTTTATTTGTTATTAAAAGCCAACAAAGATTTCTCTGCATCTGCAACCTGACACAGATGGTGTTTTTCTAGTGGATACTGTCATCGGACGGCATTAATCAATAATATTTGAAATCAGAACAGCGCCAAGCTGTCTGTCTCTGTCTTTGGGCACCTCCTGCTCCCACACTGTATACCCCTTCTTGTACCACCACCCTCTCATAACAACAATACGGGTTAACTTCCTTAAGCAGAACATGGCCAATAAATCGAAAAAAGCTAACAAACTAAAAAATCCTTTATTTTATTGCAATTGATTGACGTTCATTTGATTATCTTATCCATCAATGTCCAACGTACAAGATGAAATGCGGGCTCATAAAATTTACCATTTATATATATTTATGTTGTTTACTTTCAATGCTAAGAAAAGTTTAAGCGATTATTTGTAAGCACAATATTAAATTTATTATGGTTGAATAAATAAATTGGTCTGCCTAATTAAGGAATTATTACAAACTTGCTTCGAGTTTTAATAAAATAAACTCAATACGAACTCGATTTGGTCTTTGCAATTGTATAAATATAACCATAATTTCAATAATTAACCATTAAGAGAAACACATTTTTATGTTGGCTTTAAACTGAGCATTGCATACAAAATTTTGATTAAGTATAACTATTGTAGTTATTTTCAAACAAGCTAAGTCAATTTGAACTTAATTCGCTTTTTATAAAACAACTTGCTTAAAATGCAGTAAAATTCCATAATGAATCATAAGATTAAAAATATTTTTAAGATGATAAACTAAACGTACTTCCAAAAACAATCCATAAAATAATTTTTAAACTTGTATAAAACTTGATTGGCATTTACTGGCAAATTACTCAATCTGAAACTACCTTTTTTGCTACCAATGCCTTTTAATAAGTTTTGATTTCTTATTATTTAGTTAAAATTTTGAGGCTTTAATTATTCGAATTTTGTTTGGTTTAGGGATGTTGCACTGTCTCAAAGTTTTCTGTTTCAGTTGCTTTTGCATATTTTCTCACAGTTCCCGCGGTGCAGAAAAAAAAATGTACAAATTTCTTGCAAATACCTGCACATACATAATTTTGCTCGTTGTTGTTGCCTTTGCAAAATTTGTATCGAGTTACTTTGCTTGCTGCTCTCATTTGCATGCTGCGATATTGTTGCTGTTGTTGTCGTTGCTCTGGTTGCTGTTTTTCCACTGATTATTTCTTGTGTCGCTGCCGCTTGGCGTTGCTGCAACTAAATTGGCCTTAATTGGTTGCCTTTTTGTGGCCAATTTCGTTGTTAGCCCGCTTCAGTTGCAGTTTTTTTTTCAGCCGCTATGAGACCATATTTCTGTTGTCTTGCCTGTTGCACAGTTGTTGCTCTCTTATCGGTCGTAGCCGGCCGGCTGGAAAAGCACTTTTGGCCACTTGTGGCATGCAGCCGAGTGTAATTTTTTATTTGCTGTCTTGTTTCGCTGCCCTTTTTGGCCGGGTCTAATTGCTGCGGAATTGGCTTCGGCTTGGGAAAGGAAACCGAACGGGTGTGTGCCACTGAAATCTCTGTAAAACCCACTAACATTAACGGGAATTGGTGATTTATGATGTAATATTTATGTTTTATGCTTTAACTTTACAATTTGAACTGCCATTATATTTTATCATTTGTGTTCACAAATCTCATTTAAAAATTACTTCCTTAAAAAAGGTATAAAAATCTTAAAATAGAGTGTGCTTTGAAAATAGAGTGTTACATTAATGGATAAATATTGTAGATTTAAATTTTTAACACTTTGTTTCAAAAATAAATACTATTGTATATATATATAACATTTGAAGAAAGCTTTTGAAGTTATAATTATTTTGTGTTTTACTAAAAATATTTTATTATTTTATTAATAGTTTTAACATCACAAGCAAATTACAAGCACTCGCTGCGGTAGCTTTAATTGCCATTATGTTTTGCCAAAAAGACGGCTATATATCAAGGATGCAATAACCCTGTGGGAGGTAGTTTTGAAGATCTAAAATCTAAGGTTTTTATTTATTTTTTTAATGAGTGTTTGCTTGTATTAAACATTCCGTAACGAGAGCATTAACCATTCGACGCGTTATGTGGCTAATGTGATATTTCCCAATTTTATACGTTTTGCCGTCTGCTCGCGTTTTTTCATCTGTTTGCATTTTTAATGCGCGCTTGCAAGGCTTATTTGATTTAATTAGCCAGTCAGGCAGGCCAGCAGCAGCCGGTGAGCCAAGTTTTCATTATTGTTTGCAAATTGTGGGAAAAAATGCACCGATCCCCCGCCACTTCCTCCACCATCACAGCACTGCGTTTTACAGTCGCAAAAGTTTTTGGTGGCGATTATGCAATCGAAGCTCTGGAACCAGCCAATAAATCAAAATGCCATTCTCAAGACTCCAGTGGCTGCTGCTGCAAGTGCCACATGCAGCAAAAAAAAAACAACAACAATGAGCTGGGGCCCAGTATTCAGAGCATGTCAATGTGGGCCTCCGGTAATACTAGCCCAACTCCCCCTACTTCCGCTCCGGTCGCCCTCTTAAAGGCCCACACACTTTTTAATGCACTTACAAAAATTGAAGATAAAACTTTTGAACTAATACTAAGACGTTTAAATGCATACACTAGCTAAAAATCGAATTAATCCAACTGTTATTGTATCTTCATGCAAGTAAAGTTTGTAGGACAAATATATCATACCTTAGGGAAAAAAATAGCTTCAATTTGTAGCCGCAATGAAACCCGTATTTGAACTACAATAAACATTAAAAGTTTTTTTTATTAATACGCATGCTCTTTGCTTCTAGTGAGGGCAATGTATTTCGACAAATGGCGCCACCTAAAACTCCGATTATTAAGTTCAAAATTTGTTTCTTGAATATCTAATAGTTGATGAAAGATGTTTTAAACACTTTCCTATTTAAATAAAGAATGGTGTAATGTACGTATTTAAAATGTCTAATATTTTCGCCTGTGTACAACATTTACCGTTTTGGCAAGGTCTGCCGGCCAGCTGCCAGTTGGTCTCGATCTCCCAGATTCTTGCCACTTGCCACATGTGCCGCCACCCATTGCACAATCGCAGAATGTGCGGCTGTCCTGCTGTCCTGCTGTCCCGCTGTCAATAAGCCAACAAAGCTAGTTTATTGAGTCGTCGTCGTAGTCGTCGCCGGTTCTCTGCACTCAGTTAACCCAACCTGTCATGCCCACGCGTCGAGGCCAAGTGGCCTGGGCCTGAAAAGCATCCGAGTGGCCACTTTATTCGGTTTGTCATACTATATACCCATGCCTATTTAATGCGGTGCATATGGGCACTGGAAAGGAAAGTGTTCTCCGGGTGTCCGAAGGTGTGAGATACGAAAAGGTATCAGTTAACCACTTTAAGTCCGGCCAATTGTTCTCAACGCCTTGCGAATCAAGAAAGAAAACACCAGATGAGTCAAGTTGTCTTCAAAAAATCCTTCAACTTTTCTGTTTAAATTCAAAACGTTAATATACATTTACTTCGTAGCTCAAAAATCCTTGAAACTTTAAGTTTTAACAGACATAATCTTAAATTGCTATTTTATTTGCTAATTGTGGCACTTCTAGTTTTAAAACCAAAATACTTTATATTTTGATTGCTCGCAAATTAAGCTTATTGCGGCTGCAATCGCTTATGAGTGTATTAAAGGAAAACATTCTGAAAACTACATTTTCGAATTTTTGAAGTTAAGTAATACTATAAACTTCAACTGTAAAAGAAAGAATAAGAATCATTTTACATTTTTACACGACTTTTGCTTTGTTTATGTATTAAGGAATCAACATTTTTTATTCTCCTCTTCTTAACGGCTTTGATAAATAGATTTTTACTTGCTCTTGAGTATTAAAGAATTGAACAGTTTTCTGATTAGATGCCAATCAAGATATTTTGATAGGTAACAATCTAAAATCAAGTGCTAAAAGTCTTGAGCGTACATCAAGACTGTGGTAGCCTCTTCTGCCATTGTTGCCTTTGATGAATGGACTTTGCGATTCTCATGGGTAATTCCATGGTCGAGCACTAACGTTTTCCTGTCATTTCCTGCCAGCGTTTTGCTGATTAAGTTTCAATTTGAATTCGAGTTCTGGGCGGGAAGTGTGTGGGGTCAGAGCCGGTGGGGCAACAACCCATGGGCAGATGACCCAATTGCCGCCAGTCCAAGACCACTCACACAGCTATAGCCACAGTCACGGATTCAGATGCGCTCCTAGAAGCCTCCTACATGGAAGTTTGCTGCTCGAGTTTGCCTGATCGACTGACCCACTAAAAAGCCTTCGGCGGCCGGGGGGGAAAACGGACTTAAATATAGCTATCAGGCTTTAAGTGGCAGCCAGTGCCGCCTGAGCAAATTTATTGAATCTCATTGGGCAGCTTTCTATACTTTCTCGCTCGCACTGGCAGAAAGGGGAAAAATCGCCAGCGATTTGTTTATTGCGGAAGAAGTGAAAAGTGCGCGGCCAAATCTCACCCCGTCTTAATGCTCGTGCATTAATTTGTCTTAGACATTTCAAAGGCATCTCGCGGATGCGTATCTTGCGGTTTTTGTGGTCACTGGGATATTTACATTTCGTACGGCGAGTGCCATATCGATATATGTATGTGGCTAGATGAATCCAATGAATTGGCTAAAATGAGCTTCATCTCATTTTTCCTTTGGCCACAAAAGTGCGTTTTAATTAACCCACGCGGCGACCTGGCCAATTACTTTCTGCCTGCTTCTGCTTTTTGCCGAGGATCGAACACTCGGGATTCACTTCGCCATGACTTTCACTTTCTCGCCCCGAATAGCGGCAACGAAGGGGCTAAGGGGAAAGGCAAAAAAGGCAAAAAGGCGGCGGCGGCGGTGGCGGTGGAGGGTTAATGAGGATGCCACATTGCTGCACATTTCGTGCCGCTTCATTGTGATTATCTTGTTGAAGAGATTCAAACTGTGGCAGCCGCTTTCATGTAATTTATTTGTTTATTGTCTTGGCCAGGGCCAGGCCTGAAAACACACTCCCCGGCACACACATTACATTAACCATCGGTCGAATCATCCAACTATCCACAATCCACAATCCACCCACCCAGAGAGGCACCCAACCTCAACCTTCAATTTTGGATGGGCGGCCAGCGTGATTCGTGAGTTTGTTTTTTTTTTTTTTTTTGGTTTATAGCTACCTTAAATGTACGAGCACAATGTTTTATTTCTTATATTATTGTCTTAAAATGTTTTCTATCTTAATAAGAACACAACAGAATCAAAAAAATTCATGTAACGATCCTGTTAATTGTGTATGCAATAACTTTAAAATCGTAAAAATATATGGCTTGAACAGGAGTTTATCACTATATTATCACTATTTTAACAAATAAGATATTTTTCTCAAATTTCTTTAATAAATGCAATCAATTTCTTAGATTGCACATAAAAGTGTTGCTTTCGAATATTAAATTAAAAAAAATTTGCTTGGTGCAATAACATTTTACGACATTTATAACATGCAAAATAATTAAATTCAAATTCAAAACATGATGACAATTTAAAGCTCCTATTGCATAAGCAAGGTACTAATTAAAAATATTGTTTGAAAATGTATTAAAATGATTAGTTGTTTTTTTTGCTAACAATACTTTATTAATATGATTTCAGCTCAGAGCTTGTGTAGATCTCGTGATCACGAGACCATCTCCAGAAATGTGCAGGAGTCTGCTGCTGTTACACTTGCACTTGCCATTTGCTACTTGTACCGCTGCTGCTCTTGTTGCTGCTCTTGTTGCTGGTTGTTTGCCTATCCGCTCGTTTTGTGTGGAATCGCTCACAGTTGTCCGTCCGTTAGGCCGCCAGTCCGCCCATCAGTTGAGTTGGTCCGCTTGTCGCTCCGTTAGCTCGTTAGAGCTGAAGATGAACAAGTTTTTCCTCAACTGGTACTCTAGACTTATTTCTTCATGAAGCCAGGAAGCCAGCGATTTCTCATCTTTGTTGTTGTTGTTGCTGCCGCTGATGTTGCTCTTGTTGCGCTTGTTGTTAATGTTGCTGTTGCTGTTGCTATTGCTATTGCCGGTGTTGATGTTGCAGTTAGTGCTTTCCCTTGATTCAGCGCCACCCGCAACCTCCGACCCCTGAAAACCACCAACATGCCACTCATGCGAGGCGGCTTAATTAGCTCCATGGGCTTTTCTGGCATCTGTACTTTGGCATCTTCGGATTGGGATTGTTTCGCTTTCGTTCTCACATCCCGCCGCTAATGTTTTTCCGAGTGAGTGAGCTTTTCCAACTGCCGTTTTTCGCACACCAATTTCTCACTTGATCAAAAGAAAGTTCCTAGCGATATTGGGTCCTACAAATTTTCGCTTAACCCGAGAGGGAAAGAAAAAATGAAACGGAGTGAAAGAGCTAAGTGCATTTCCTGGAAATAACGTTTCCTCTGCCGCAGTCGGCAGTAAAGCCAGTTCAGTTTTCCTCACTTTTCCGCACATCGACGGCTTTTAACTTGTTTTGCCTTTGGTAACTGTGCAGCTGGGTAAATTTTAAGTTCTAATCCTGAATGAAGCTCAGTGATGCATTTAGATGCTGAAAATAGCATGATGAAGTTTGGTTATTAACTTAAAGGTAATAGATATTGAACATCTTTTCTTTATTTAAAATCTTAACAAAAACTGTTTTCGGCATTTTGAGAATTTTGGTTTAGTATTTATAATAGAATTTCCAAATGACAATATTTAAAAATAAAACTTGTTTGCTAACAAGTCATTGTTACTTTAAATTTAAATTAAATTATGTACATACAACAACAAATTAACTAAATCAATAGAAAATAATTATAAGAAACTATTATTACATTAATTTCGTAATGAATGGAACCATTTGACTGAACTTCCAGCATCTTAAATGGAACAAGAAGTGAAAGAGGTAGCCGATATTACTTTCTTTTAAACGATTATCAAAAATTTTATTAGGAAACATTAGCCTAAAATAAAATTTTAGTCTGCCAAGTAGGTACCTAACTAAAATCTCTCGTGTGTAAATCCAATTCTTCTGTTTGAATGCGTTTGCCTTTTCAATTGGCTGCATCTTCCACCTTCTCCGGTTGAGTCATGCGATCTGCCAGAGAAACAGAAGAACGGGCCAGAGAACCCGATCCGAAGTGGAGTTGGGTTTTAGTTTAAGTTTTAGCCGAGAGTCAAGTTGAGTTACGCGGGCACTAAGTAGAGCCAAAGCCAAAACCAACAGCCAAACTCGATTTCAGTTGGCTTTTTCTGACGTTGCGAGTTTCTTTTCGTTTGTTTTCGGTGCCACATTCCCTGCTCGTTGGCCTGTTCGCTTCTCACATGATTAAGCCAGATTGCTTTCAGCTGGCAGCCGGATTGCAGACTGCTCTGCGAATCTGCAAAGACTCTGCCTCTCGGTTTCTGCAGACTGCAGTTGTTTGCCTATTTATAGCACGGCGCTCTGGACTTTGACCACATCTTCGATCCGATGACGCAGCGTCTTTGGTCTTACAGGGAAAAAAACAGATCGAGAATCTATGTTTACATAGCAAAAGGTATTAATTCTATATAATTTCAGGGTCCTACTCAACCATTTTCTAAAATCGATTACAATTATAATTTTGTCAGCTTACATTAATTGCTTAAAACTTTTTAATTATGTTCTAGTATATCAAATGAACATTTCCATATATTTTTCTTTCTATATAAAATTAAAACCCCTGACACTCCTAAACTTAATACAATAATATGTAAATAAATTTGTCTATGTGCAGCGATTTGTGCTACGATTTACATCATCGCCATCCAGCGGGGAATATGTGGATTCCTCGAGTGGAGTTCAAGCCCCTAGAGGTCGTAGAAATCGCAGGGTCCATTGCGAAATCTTTAGCACACTCGAGATCTGCATTCTTATGGGGAGGCATCGGCAGACTTCTTCTGCCCCAAAGACCATTGCGAAATGCAAATATCAACAAATGAGCAAATCGTTTCGTTATTTGTTTGACAGCAACACAAACGTTGCATCAAAGTGGGTAAACAAAGGCTAGAGATGTCGATGGGGATGGAGATGAAGATGCTGAGGCTGAGGCTGATGCAGATGCAGATGAGGATGGAAAATTGAGGAGGCAATGTTACCTTGGAGGCCCCGTCGTGGGCCTGATGAACGGTTGACCCAGTCGAGTGGTTTTGGGCCAGCAAACGCATTCTTTAGGGGGGACTCAACCTCGGACTCGGATTCAATTGATGCTAATTGCTAATTGCATAGTAATTCATTCGATCTAGTCTATTTGCTCTTGGGCTTCCGCATTGAGCCGTTCTATGGACGAATGCAAATCCCGCGCAGATCTTTAATTAAAGCCATCACAAACACTTTTACAAGTGCAAAGGAGGCGTTTGTATTATGAGCTCCGCGTGTGGATTACTCATACGCCCCATCGTCCACACGGACACGCCTCCTCGCGAATCAATGGCAACGCCCCCCGCTTTCGTGGGCCTTTTCCCTGCGTCATGGCACATGAGTCGAGAAAACTCCCAAGGAGGCCAAGTCAAATGCAGAGATATTTATGGCCCAGCATTGATTTCAGCCATTCGAATCCATTGGCAACTGGGTTCTGTGTGAAGTTGTGCTTGATATAACAGTTGATTGGGCGGGGAAATGTAATTTAAAGCAACAACCCCTTAGATTAATCGGAAAACTCAGATCTAATAGAGTTCAATGCATACAGATAGCTAGTTTAATGTTTTTTTCGTTTGTAAAGTAAATATTTTTTTGTAAATTAGAAGACAGAGAATTGCTAGAAATTTTTATTTTATTTTGAAATCTTTTTTCATTAAAAATATTTCTTTATAGTCTAAATAAACCTTGTATTGTTATTAAATTTAAAAACAAAACCTAATCTAAGAAAATAAAATTCTTATTTTTTAAAATTTTGAAAAGTTTAAATTAAGAGCAATGTTTTAAAGGAGAGAATTCCTTAGGCCAAGGACATCAATTTTAATCCAATGGCAATTCTATAAAGTGAATTTTATATTCGCTTTCATAGTGAGTGTGTTTTTCTCTGGTATTCGTTTTTCATGGATTGTTAATTTTCACTTTGTCCGGCTGGCGAAAAAGCACTGGCAAAGAGAATCGGAAAACCTATTTCAAGTTCATGGCTAGAAGCGCCAAAGTACAAATACAACAACGCCCAAGAGCTGCAATTTTTGAATTAGCCAAATTACTATTATTTGCCGCAACACAAGCATGGATACAAAGCCAAAAATTCACATGCAAAAAACAAACGCATAGATACTACAAGTAGACACGGATACAGATACAGATACAGATACGGATACAGATACAGCCTTGTCTGTCTGGCTTTTCGCCTTGGCTCTCAAATTTTTGGCCCTGCAACGTGGCTGAATGATTTAATGTCCTTTTTGGCAGCCACACCCCGAAAATCTCACCCCGCCAACCCTATGCAGTTGTTGTCTAGACTGCGGCAAACGAACTTTAGTTGGTTTTCCACTATTTTCTATTCTCTGTTCTCCATTCTCCATTCTCATTTCTATATTTCTCATTTATTTTACTATTTTTCGGCGAAAAGTGAGTTTTTGCGGGGTTTTTGGCTTTTGTTGCCCAGGAGCTTAAGGACCTTTCCCCCAATTCAATTTATAATGCCGCGACATTTTGCACTTTACTTTGGCTTCGGGTTTGCGTGACTTTCCGGCTTTGCAACAGAAAATACAAACAAAAAAAATTAGCCAAATGATAAAAATTTTTCCTTCGCCTTTATTTCAATTTTAATTCAAAGCGGATTTTGGTATTACCTTGACGGGGTCTCTTTGTTTTGGCTTTTGGGAAAATGGCAGTTGAAGGGGAAGTTCAATGGAGTTCAGTTTTGATATTTGCGTGCCTGGCCACAAAAAGTTTGCGAACGGCTTTAAATGCTGCACAACGATGCGCATTGCCGATAAGGTCGCTCTGCCTCTCAGAAAGGGTTTTGCATTGCATAACACCATCAATCTTTTGACCAGGCTAAAAGCAAAAGCAACAGCATTGGCAGGAGGATAGGCTCTGCCGCAGGCCATATATCATTCACAGTGTCTGGCTCGCTTAACAACATGCAACAGCTTGGAAAACACAGCAACACAGCAATTAAAGCCAATGAATTGACAAGAAACCGCTGGCCTAGGCAAAAATCTGCCAAACAATTGTTATCTACCCAGAGACAATTGCCGCCTTTGTCTTTTTGCAAATTCAGGGTGAGGCCGCCAGCGAAATGTTGGCCAAATTGTGGGGTACTTTTCTGCAATGATTTGCCACTATTTGGTGATAGTTAAAAATAAAATTTCCATATTAAGAGAAGGAATGAATGGAATTGTATATTGGACTGGTTATACAAAACAATGAATGATATCAATACCAGAGGTTTCTCTCGCATTTATTTTTCACCATGCAAACTTTTTGTTAACATTTAACAAACATAAATTATATTATTTAAAATAAAAAAACAACTTTCAAAAATTATTGTATGGAGAAAACAAAAAAAAAATAGATGACCACTCATTTGCCTTTAGGCCTATAACCAAATTTTATAGATTGCAAATAAATGTATTTCCGCTACTTCAAAATCGTTTCTCTTCCTCAATATTTAATGTCTTCATCTCCGAATGAAGGTGAACGGCAAGAAAACAAATCGAAACAGAAAATAACTTATGAATTATAAATTGTGCACAAATTGCAATTAAGGTCAAGTTTGAGTTGTCAGCTGCTGCTTGACCTGTTTGGAGTGGAATCCCCCCTATCAAAGTTCCCAAATTAAATTACAAAAACGGAAACAGATTAATTTCGAGCAATTGAGGCACGTAATTAAGTAGCGAGATGATGACGATGCTGTAAGATTACGTTTTGCAGCGCCAGCAAATGATTCTCGATTCTGCAACTTCCACTTCCACACAAAATCTGCAAATGAGTTGCGGGCTCATAAATTTTGCGGTTTGTTTGGGCCTTGGCCATAACGGTATACGTATAGTTAAGTATGAGAGTGCAACATGCTGTGATTTTGCCAGATTTGCTGTTTCGGATTTCGGTCTCTTATTTTTGCCAACTCAATGTTTGTGAATGAAATATTCGAATCGGCAGTAGCAAACGGTTATAAATTTGGCATTTTATGTGACCAAAGCTCTCGGGCTAAAATGCGGTAAATCATGCGTCACGAAAATTGAATTTTTATTTTACGATTATTGAAATTTAAGTCTTTAAAGAACTTTAAGGAACAGTTACTCTGCGGCTTAATTTATTTTGTGTTTTAAAAGTATTTTTTAAACAAACTGCTTACCCTTAAAGTGATACAGATATCATACTTTTAAATTAATAGGAATACAAATTTAGCTTTAAGAAGCAGTTTCCTGCGGTAAAATTTATTTTAAGGTTTACAAGAATTTTATAATCCAACTTGTGCCTTTAAATAAAACAAATCCATATCATCATCATTTACATATCAAATTATCCCCTCTACTATTTATAAGCTTTCTATTACCATCAGTTAATTTAAAGTCTCGATAGAAGCTCTTTAAATTTATTCTTTCGAAAATTGACACTTATTTGCCATCTCGAATATTAATCAAAACCGACAATAAAAATTCTAGTAATTACCATACGACACCCGTATCTAAAGTGTAAACTTCTTGCATAATTTCCATGGAAATGATAGACCAAACACAAATTCATTTTCTACTATCGCTTACA